TATGTTCGACTAAAATGAGCCAAAGTCCTTCATTAACGCTGCTGGCGAGAAGAATGTTGGCCTGGCTAGTTGGCCACGTTTGAAATACGTGGAACAAGGCCACTAGCTAGATGCTTTTTTCGAGAAAAGTGCGGCACTCTCTGAAGGTGTTGACTGAAGTTGAGAAGTGTGCCTATCGTTCAATAATTATTGCGTCCACTATTGAAATTTCGGGAGTTGAGGTATACGGGGGCTTCTAGGCTTCCAACCTCTTTCCGCCATACTGCGGGCCTGCCTGGCATATCGTAAATATTTTATAGCAATGTGTAGCACATGTTTTGCGTCAACGCCAGCGAATACTCAAGCCACCAAACGATCACGGCAGCTCAAGTGCTTTCAGGCATGTCGATCACAATTAACAGTCGAACTCGGTCTCTTTTCGTTTCGTGGAGAGAGTCCCTAAGCTTTTGTATGGGCAACTTGAACTAAGGTGGCAACGTCTGTGTTTACACGTGTGTGAGGGTGGAGGGGGGGGGGGGGGGGTTACCATTGTCTATTAATCAGTCACTTACTGACGAAGATACACCAGTACTAAGGTTCTTTTGATAGAGAAACTAGTGGTACATTTAGCAAAAAGCACAATGCTGCTTCTCCTGCCGGGAAAAAAAAAGACCAGCGGACAAGCTTAATGATCATCTTCACGAAAACTGGTTAAATGCAACGAAATTCTAAGCAGAAAGCTTGGACGACAACTGGAGTGTTATCAGCTTCATGCTTACATGCCTTTACAAAAGATTGCTAAAATGAACTAAAACATTCCTACTTCTACTTCAGCTGCGATAATTTTTCAGCTGCAGCTGCACAGGTACATCTTTCTTAAACTACAGCTATAGCACTTCATCGTAAAACATGTTAGCCAGAACCCCGAATGCTCTTGTCACTTATACATGTTTGCGTCATTTGTGTTTAATTAAAGCGGTTTTGATTGCGTTAACGTTCGTAGATTAAAATAATGTAACAAAGGCAACGTATCTCCATAATCTGCCTGTACTTGCCCACGGTTTTGTCTGTGTTCGTTTTGGCAAGATTTCTGACTACGTCTTCAGCTTTTGGACTACTTTTCCTTTTTTTAACCGGGGAAACACACAGTGCCATACAATGTTATTGCGAACTAATTTCGCAGAGCCTAATTAATTTGCCCTAATATGTCATCCGTTATATACAATGCAGCATTGCTCTAACGTTATTCTGATTACATGAACATTCATTACCTCCTTATGCATTTTTCTATTTACAGCAAAAGGTATGTATACAATTTTTCCAAGACACTCCACATTAGTGAGCCCATGTCATACGTGGCACGCCTTCTTCATGAGAAACCAGAATAAGTCCGGAATAATATTTTATAATAATAGTTCACTCTCAAACATTGAAAAGCGTTCGGGCGGACAGGTGCATTTTTAAGTGCGCTGCACGATCAATTTTATGGCTCGCGAAGTAGCTCAGCATTATTGACTAGGTCAATAAGCCTGCCATTTTTATCCCTATTATGCCTTCAATTTGTTCTCTTGGCGCGAACATGCAGAAGAGCTTCTACTTTCGTAAAAGTACTTAATAGTTGTGAAAAATTGTGCAGCAATTTATTACGGATATATTTTAACCATCATTTCTCAAAGAACTCGTTAGTACTTGAGCCAAAGTAGAGTCGTAGACAACTGATTCATTGTATTTTTAGCAGAACAGATAGATAAATAACCGACTTAAGTGAAATTAAAATACACTAATGAAATAACATAGCTTGTCACAACGAGTGTTTTATTTATTTACACCCAAACAGTAACCACAAAAAAGTACGCATTATTTTTCCAATTACATTTTATAGTACAGAGTGTCCACTTCCATTACGCCCTAAAAATTCTTTTCATAACAATATAACGAAGACAAGTTGGCCGTACTACCAAATTTCAGCCGTAAAAGCGACCACAATATACAGAAAGCCGTGCAGCATTCGATATGAAGTCTTAGATAACGTCGCATAACTTTAGTTGAAGCAACTTCAAAACAGTTTGATTACTTTTCAAATGTAATAATTATGTTATGTCCTTACTTCTGGCCAGCTGTCATTTGTATACCTAATTACGTTTCCGAAAAATTCTAGGAAAGAAAGCTATGATGTAATTTTACTGGTGATAGAAGGGCTGAGTCATCGACAGACTTTTATGGAATACTATCAAGATGCGAAATTCGTTTAAAAAACGTTGTTCATCACTCATTTTTTGTATTATGAGCAATCTCTTCGTGTAAGAGACAGTCGTCTCGTGCCTATCGATTGGCCGGCACGATTACGGCATTATCGGTGAAGTGACGGAGATGTAGGCTGATTGGGCATGACGTCATACTGTCTCAATTTCGATCTTGCAGAAGAAAGGTCAGCAGCAGGAGGAGCAGATCCAGCTGGACTTAGCGCCGGACTCGTTCCGGAATCGGTGGTACAAAAAGTAGCGCTGCGCGCGCGCCCACCTAGGCGTCGCCACAACTTCGTTATTAAAGTTTGTTTTTTGTGTGTTCGTACTTTTGTCTATTTTTTTTCTCTGTACGTACACCGAAGCTTGCATATGTAACTTGCGAGTGTACATTGCCGTTGCGTTAACGCATCTTTCAAAATGATTCCAGGGGTTTAATGTCGCAAAACCACGATATGGTCATAACAAACGCTGTAGTGGAGGACTCCGAAAATTTTAACCACCGGGTGTGGTTTAACGTGCACCTAAATTTAAGCTCACGGGCCTAAAGCATCTTCGCCTCCATCGAAAATGCGGCCGCCGCAGCCGGTATTCAATCCAGGGACCTGCAGGTCAGCAGTATCCTGCAGTAGCTCGACTGTGGGTCAGCAGTCGAGCTCTGCTGAGAGAAACACTGGTCTCAGTTTTCCAATACAAGGCCCTCAGAAAAAATAGTTAATAGAAAGGTGCGCGACAGGGCTGTCTGGACTGTCCATGTTAAGTGGCATGGGCGACAGTGTCGTACCCAGAGCACTCTTGAAGGCCTTCAATATATACCAAGAACAAGGAAACCCTACTGATATAGTCCACAGTGTTGCGCCTTTTGCCAGGATAGACCACTTGCTCTTCAGGTCATGTAATCGCTATAGCTTGTCCTAACTGAAAAGCCAGCACTTTCAAACGTGTGGGTAAGTTGTTCTTTTTAAGTATTTCAAGAAACTATACGAAATTGAAGCATCTGCAGTCTCTTCTGAATCTGAAGACATTGTCCCGTCTGTCGCTTGTTACATCGCGAGACGGAGTATGTGCTCGTAGCTTTAAGAAGTACATGCCTAAGCCTGGACGACAATTTTTTTTACGAAAGACGCCACTCAGCGTTACCCTAATTGAGCTTTTAGTTATTTTCTATGCGGGTTTATTGCGTAAAGGCACCGCATATAGTGATACAGAATATGACTGATACAGAAACGCTGCGTGCTCTGAGAGGCACCTATTTGACGTTATTTGCCAAGCGAAAATCTACGTTCATTTTCTGGAAAATGAAAATACATACGGGAAAAGCAACGCAGAAAAAACCATTATTCGCATCCAAGAAAAATGACAGTAAATAAAGTATTAGTGTGATCACACAATGAAAGCATGCGCATAAAAATGAGAGCTGTTAGAGGGGCTCCTTTTTTTGTTGGACAGAGCCAAATTAATCTAACAGAAAGTAAAATGAAAGGCTACAAATACATTCACCTGAAACGTTTTTAGCGATTTTGTACTAACAGACTGGGCCAGTAGACCAAGTCCTAAGGGTCATTTAAAGATCAATTCGAGCTCTCTGCGTAAACAGTATAGAATCTCTGCGACTCTGCCAAACGCGTTTACAACACCCCCTTCACAAAACTTCATGATCTGGTAACGCGACGTCACCGAGCCTCCTAATTTGATAGGCTGTGGAATGCTGGAAGATCGTCTGGTAAGGTAGCGGCACCTGTCGGAGCCGGCATAAACCATTCCACATTCTTCATCTTTGTTGCCAGATGGCGTGCATGCTGCGCGCTGCGTGATGGCCTCCGAGATTGCGCGCAACGTATCGGCGTATACAGTTCTGGTGGTCTATATACTGAGCGAAGCTCAAATCGTCGAGTGCAGTCATGAGAGCTCTGCCATCGCCAGTGATGTCAGTATGTTTCATGGGTTTAAGAGGCAAGGCCGAGGTGGGAAGTGAGGTATCATATAATTAATTGTCCCTAACGGCCTTGGTACATGACGTGTCGCTAAATTTGTGGTGCGAATGGTTTGATAATGCTCTAGCCCAAACGCCAACAAAATTTCAAAAAACCATTTCAGAATCACTTTAAGGGCATTTTAATGCAGAGCATATCACTAGATAACTTCCAAAAAATGTATTGCGCAGCTGATTGATACGCACACACAGTAGGCAAGCAGTTGGCGCGCCCACTAGAAATACCTATCGATTGCAAACTAATGAAATTTTTTGGGCTTTTACGCCCCAAAATCACAATACGATAATGACGAACGCCGTAGTGAAGGGCTCCGGAATTTTCTTCATGCGGTGTTTTTTAACGTGTAATAATAATACACGTGTCACTAGCATTCACTCTTCATTCAAAATGCGACCGCCCTGGCCGGGAATCGATCCCGCTACCTTCTAGTCAGCAGTCGGGCATTGTAACCATTTTTTGGCCGCAGCAGGTGACGGAAAAAAATAAAAAAAAATGTCTGACACACATGTCCTGCGCAAATGTGCAATTGATTGGGGAGCTTGAGGCATAATCAAATAGCACACGAAAACACCCCAACCAGATTAAAAGAAAAATAGAACAGATGAGCGCTGTTTGCCGGCGGAATCTAATATCCCAAATTATAAATACAGGCATTAACAGAAACGAATAGATATTTATTGTTGCATAGTCCCAAATAATCACGATGTTGACGTCTCGTCATTCGTGATAATAGCGTTCGGTGGGCGGGTGCAGTTCTGAGAGTCGCACCACTCCGTCTCAAATGTTATCCCCTCAGGCTCTGCCACAGTACTTTGCGAGCTGTCTTCAGCAGCTTAAAATTGGTATCGTCGCACGAGCATCTGTGCCTATCGTAGTAGACGTCGTCGATGACTAGGCACGCGTTCGGCAAACGGCCAATCTTCAAGACCTAGTAGGCACGGAAGAAAGAGAAAAAAAAAACAAATTCTCATCTTCCTTGTGTGCAAGTGATACCATGAAAATGAATCTGGTGCTTTGATATGTGGACGGAATACTGTTGGGAGTTAAGGAATGCGAAGGCATAATTATGCATATTGACAAATGCTGGTAAGCTGGCGTGACGACATTTCGCGAGGGTTCAGCCGTGGTGACGTCCAGTGACATATACAGTTCAGTAATGAAGTCTGAGTTTTTAACGTGACAAAGTTAATTTTTATGGCAGGCAATAAGGCGTGCCGTATTCGACGGCGCGCCTTATTATCTGCCATGAAAATTACACGAAACCCAACCCATCTTCCGTGTTTTCGCAATTCAAAGAAACGTTTACTTATGTAAAGGCTATACTGAGTTTAACTATAAAACCGTTCTTCCAGCACCCGCGTCCACGTCCGTTTCAGCCGGGTCAACGGCATGCGCACCGCTGCTGCTTCGCATCCGATTATGATTCCCTTCGGGGAGATGGTCCATTTCAAATGCGAAGCATTTCTTAGCAAAATTCAGCGACTTCAAGCGTATCTATCTATCTAGCCGCTTACGTTTTGGGTGCTCTCGTGGTCACCCCCTTAACTTAGCCTGAACCTAAATTAGAATGGGAGGATAAAATGGCTTGACGAATATGACGCGCTCGTCAAGACATGAATAAAGTCACAATCTCGTAGCGTAGGTCGTACAAACACTTCCCGCCAGACACTGGCTCATACCCACGAGTGAGCATGCGCCGCTGGTATGCGGGTATAAGCCACAGTTGATTAACACTTGTCTACATAGGAACGACGAGAACACACATGGACAATTCTAACGCAGGAGCGTGAAAGAAATGCGCGACGTTGGTAGTGTCGATCCGACGAATGCAAAGAATAAATGTCAAAGGTCTCAGCAGGAACAAACCCAAGCATTATACATGGCAATCAAGCATTCCACCACAAAGCTACGCCAGGTGACGGAACTACTTTTCAAATAGACACTAATCTTCATGAAACGTCATTCGTTATTGCAGTGCTGCCTACCCAAATTTGTTAACACTACATATGGGTTCCTTTGATACAATCGTCCCGTCGGGTTAACGTCAATTGTAGTTAGGTGCCATGCACTGAAATTGGTTTATGTAGCAGTGTCCAGGGCCAGCATCCTCGCAAGCATCAGTGCTTCATATAGCGTCTGGTGTTGCTATGACGCATGTTCCAGTTAGCACCGTTGCGCAAGTGCGAACAACTGGTTATATATATCTGCAACTCTTCAACATGTGCCCTGTGGGTGCAACATTTGTACATATATTTAGCGGCATTCCATGACGTGCGCTCACTAAACAAATTGCAACACGGTCATCTTCCATCCGCATGCTTCGCATAACGCTGATTCCTAGGTACATGGGATCTGCCAAATTTTTCTATGGAACGAAGCCTTACTTAATAGCGATATACTCAGCGCCAGTCTCTTCAACATAGCACTCAACGTACCTTGTTTTTAAAATCTTTAGGATCCTCAAATACAAACAGTGAGTCCACTTTATCATTCCGTACAAAATGGGAATGGCCATTTGGGTTCATGGCAGAGCCTTTTCTCTCATACTCATCCTGAAAATAATAATGCGATTAGAAACTACGTCATGCATATGTGAGTAACTTCGTTTGCTCTATTGTGTCTTTCTGCTTTGCTATGTTTTTTTTTTAACAGAGCGAAGGCACTGCCACTGAAAGTTACTTTTCACACTAATGTTGAAAAATGAGCCCATTGTGCGGCGTTTATTAAGTTGGATAGCTGTCACAGTTCAAGTGCACACGAGGTTGTTATGCATGCCTCGGCCTTTCAGAAATTATTCTTTATTATAGCCCCTTGTTTAGCGAGTAAACTCTACCCGAGACAAGGCAATATTGCAATACAAGAGTATCATGATAATACTTAAGGGATACTTTTTGGTGTCTATAGTTCTCTGCCGAGATACACTTAAAAAATGCACTTTTGTCTGAGAAAAGAAATGCATTTACGATTTATTGTTTGTATCGTTATACTACCCTGACACCAGTACCTCATTACGTTTCTTTTGTCTAATATAAGCTGAGCCATGTTTCTATGTTGGAAGGATGAATGTCTTTCCTTCTCTGTGCCCCAAGACAAGCAAAGATTCGCTGCCTCTCGGTGACACGGGAAGATAGGTGATGGTTTTCCCTGAAGCATAGTGTGGTTGATGCGGTATAGCCTGCGACGCCTTTGATGTCAGTATAGGTACTTTTGTCGACGTCTGTCGACCAAAGTCACTGTTGCTCAAGGCGAGTGCAGAATGCTTAACTTTTTTTCGCGTAGCGAACCATTACCTGGCGTCCCCCGAGTCTATATCGTCTTTAAACAGTGGCTTACCTCCCGCGTATATACAGTCTTGAAACAGAGGCTTGCAACACTTCACAAGCGTACAATACTCAAAGCGACGGAATTGCCATAAGCAGTTCCCGTAGTGACAGCGTGAGTGAACAAAAAAATGTCTATCTTTGCCTCGCTTTGAGCCAACCTCTTAGCGTGTCAGGGTGCGTCTCTAATTTATTCACAATTGCGAAACGCTATTTTGTGTCAACAGGCTCCTCCATCACCATATCCGCCGACTTCGTCTGTTGCGGCTTGCTGAGATGGGGGTAGCATCGGCAGTGGTAACAACGCTTTTTAAAAGGGACTCAGTCGTTCCAGGCGATGAGTGCTGGCTGTAGTCTCTGAGCGGGTGCGCTGAGCCGACGTAGACTTTCCTACGTCAAGTTTTCACAAAGCTGGCAGGATAGACTTGACAGGCCTTAAACCCTCTCACCAGATACAACATTGCTTTAGGAAGCAAAAACATCAATATAGCTGTCTTAACATAGGGGGCTTCATCCCGCGTGAAAGATTATGCCCAGCTTATATAAACAGGGAAATCCCCAAACCTCTGGCATGGCCCCGACTGAGTCAGATGGCTGAGATTTCATAAGATGGGGATCAACTTCGGATTCTGAATGATACGAACACAGCCACTTGTGCGCACAAGTTGTTCCGTACATAGGTGACCCGAAACAGATATCGCTATGCTGCAAGATCATCCGGCTATGAAGTTGATATGTTTTCACTACAACACGAATTTGTGCTCGTCTGCAGTTGTAGAGAGCCCTTTTTCTTCAGAGGGTCTTGTATGATGGCCAAATTGACGGTGCTGCTAGACGACATCCTATTTGAAAAACTTATGTTGCTTAAGTGCAACTAACGCCACAACTTTCTCAGTAAAACAGATCTAATGTTCTGCAAAATAAAGGCATACTTCTTTTCAATTCACTGGTGTTCGTTAGTGATTCGAGTAATTTACTAATCTTTAGGCGAATCTGCTGTCACCAGGTACGTCGATTTCAATGTTAATTTTGCGCCTGCTGTGGTATAGTGTACTCTCTTAATGCAATATATACCTGTAAATATGCCTTTGTTACACTTTACCTACATTGTAAACTGAAACCCCTTCCCCTCCACCTTCCTGTAATGCTTCGATGGTGCTGAAGGTGCAGATATTCATAAACAGAAGTGAAATTTCCGGTGCGCTGCAGTCCTCTTTAGAACCTTTTGACTTAATTATTAAGTATCTTAGCGGAATACCAGTCTCCCCGAAATAAAAATGTATTCGAGCATTTTTACCAGTGTATCTGTAATCCGGTACCCCTTTTTTTAACCATTTTTCAAAGTATCACCGAAATATCCGCTACATCAAAGGTATCTCAGTATATACATATTTAGGGCGTGCACCCACGCACTTATTTCTGTGGTCCAGAATACTTTTTCCGAGTGTCTATGCTAAGCGCACACCAATACACCCTTTTGAGTGAATTTCAATTTCAAGCTAAACCATGGCAAACACTGCCTACAAACCTTTGTCAAACCGCTAGCGCGGCACGTTTTTCTATATGGCCAGTGCCACTACTTGGCATCCGTGATGACAAGTTCCGGCAACAACTTCGTCGTGATGGTGTAGCCCGTTCAATATCTGGAGCAACTTTTGTAGCATCAAAAAAAATATATATGTTCCGCAGCCGGCTTATGGCACGAGGAAGTCTGTTTCGGAGATAGTGTTCAGCCGAAAAAAAAAATTGTGTTTTTAGCAGCTTGGTCGCCCATTCAGTATACTCACATAGTGGGCAAGGCAGTTCTTCGACACCGCTCCGAAGCGTAGTTGTAGTTTTTCCAACCGCAACCTATATCTTTTGGCAAGTGCTTACTATCACGACAATTTCACTGGCGACAGATAAATGAATACCATGACGACAGATACTGTAATTGATAACGATCACTTGATATTTGTTTAGGGGCAAAGTTCCTTGGTCTCGAGCTATGTCTGCCGTCCATCGTGACACGACGTGACGATGACGACGACGAAGAACCAGCACGCTCCCAACCACATTTTCTTTCTGCCATTGAGAAAAAAACAATCGTGATAGAGCTCTCAGCCACGAAAGGTCCTCGCGGAGTTGAGTAACGACCAATAAAACAACATTGTATTTACTGTACACACGCGTCGCCACTCATTTCTATGATCGAGTGGGCGATGTACGAGGGTATTCGCGGTTGCCCGAATAATAACCCGAAGCTTCGCCCATTGGTCACCGTTCACTTCGTGGATATGACGCGATTTTTTTTTTTTTTTGCCCATTTTGCATTCATTTAGAATTGTCCTTTGCTGGCATCGACGAAAGATGGCGCAAATGGGATACTTCAAGTCCTGCTCATGCAATATTTGCAAAATAAACTGAGAAATTCACCACAAGTGCCTAACTACACCGGAAGCGGGAGTCACTTTTACGTATTTTGATAAAATAAACAATGGTGTAGAAAATATGTCACGCCAACGTCGCGGCACGTTGGTAAGAGGTATAAGCGGTGGTCTCTTAGTGGTTAACGAGATTTGTTTCCTCCTAGACTGGCTGCACATGAATAAATCCACTCACCGAGCAATACGGCACCTTAGCGAAATCCACGGCGTTATCGCCGAGTGCCTTAGCCCCGTTGTACTGCACGGCAGCCAAGGTGAAGGCAATGCAGTGGTTTCCATACGCATTTAGGTTGGCACCAGTTACCGCCGATTCGTACGCACTGACGCCGTTCTCCTGCACACATCGTCATGTGCGTCGTTATGAGGGCTATATATATGACAGCGCACGAAGAATTCGACACGCATACAACACACGGCGACTGAGTTAAACGATCCCGCGAAAACACTGAAACTACAGTTAAATCAATAACGGCTCCATATTGCCACGACGTCAAAACAGAGGTCTTGCCGCAGCGATTTAGACACCAGAAGCAGGTCGATCTTTTAATTAGAACGCGCAAGCGAGTTCTTCTTTTTCGTCCATTTCGTAGTCCTTCATGGCACATGCACAACTTCCATCGTCTTTCTTGAGCAAGCACGTGACAATATAGCCTAACTTTCGCCGGGATTTTACTTCCTAACACCATTGCAACAATTGTTTGCATTTAAAGCCGTGAATACAAGAAGTGAATATGAGGTGCGCCATATAGTATGGCTGCAGAAGTTTCAACAACATCGGGTTTTTAAAGTGCATATAGATATGAGCAAACATCGCTCTTGCAGTTTGCCACCGAGGGAAAGAGGCCTGCTGCCGCGGCCGGTATTTGATCCGACAACCTTCATGCTAGCACACAAGCAGCATAACCATTCGACCACCGCCGAGATTTTACAGTGAGATTGAACGGACAAGAAATAAAGGTTTACGATATTTGTTACAATGCTTCTCGCCTCTGCTTTTACGAGAAGCAATCAAGAAGCCAATCCACCCAATGTATGTGGCTATATCATTGCGCTAAATTGGAAATACAAAATTTGCGAGACACAAAGTAAGAAGAAAACCAAGCTACCTGTGGCTTCCAGTGCAGTTTAAAGGCCAGTCAACAGGCTCCAACTTTTTTTACACCCCCCAAACAGGCTCGCGCCTTCTTCCTACGCCTGACCAACCTCCTTCTACGCGCAGTGACGTCAACTCAGTGATAAGTGACTTTGACTTCATTACTCTTTGTTGAGACCAATGGACGAGCTGCGTGCTGCGTCACGTGGCCGATCGACGAGTTAACGTCCCTACGCGTGAAAGGAAGTTCGTCAAGTGTAGGAAAGATGTGCGAGCTTGTTTGGGCGGCGTAAAAAAAGTCGGAGCTCATTGACTGGCCCATTAATATTTCGTTGAGCTATGCATACCCATGTGTTCGTGAAGTGGCCGGGATAATAATTAGCATATGAAACCTACAGGCATTGCTTACGCACTAATGAATGTTTTTCAATCCGACATAAATGCCGTCTGCCCCGCCGTGGTGGTCTAGTGGCTAAGGTACTAGGCTACTGACACGCTGGTCGAGGGATCGAATCTCGGCTGCGGCGGCTGCATTTTCAATGGAGGCGAAAATGCTGTAGGTCTGTGGGCTCAGATTTGTGTGCACGTTAGAAAACCCCAGGTGGTCAAAATTTCCGGAGCCCACTAGGCTTCGGCGTCTCTCAATCATATAGTGGTTTTGGGACGTTAAACCCCACAAATCTATCAATCAATCATCACAAATGTCGTCTATATGTAGTTCATCATTAACTGCATGTGCGCTTCACATTCGGTTTCATATCTTCTCTTAGATACGAGACACTCAATTAGCTTTATTATTACGTTCGCGAAGAGCGACCCGGAAATGCCTGTTAAAGGAGGAGAGCCACAGCGGGCAGCTACCACGCTATCGAAATTTCACAAGAGGTGTACCTCTGGGCTCCATGGTTTCACATGTGCACGCACATCGCGACTGATTAGCTCAGGTAAATGTATATTACGGCACTAATTCTTCACCAGGCATGTCACAAACTACTAAACGTCTAAGTACGAATAAAGGTACCCTCGCAGCTTTATGCAATAAGACACTTAATGGCACAAGGTAGCACAAGAGAAATCGCTTAGTCACTTAAGGTTTGAATACTTAAGATTTTTTTGCTGCACTGGTGGGTTTATATCGAGTAAATCGTGTCATGCGATGACGTGACGTGCTTGATGTCCATGTGAAGTCATGTTGACGTCACAAATTTCGGCGATCTTTGGCGTCATGTTGGCGCCACGTAGTAACGTCATCACTTGATGCTATTTTTGCATCACACATGTTTACGGTACTGGTGTGGAATTCTCACACAGGACACCTGCACGAGACGCTAGTCGGTTAACGCGTTCAATAAAGCATCCAAGTTTTTAGCCTAAATAAGTGGGACACAGATGGGACATGGTGCATGTGTCACCTGTGGACACACGTCTGTTTAATGTCTGCCTTACGTACTTACGCTATCTGAAGCAGAACGTGTCGGTTTCAGTAGACTGACTGATTGGCCTACGGCCGTCTTCAGTCGCCGTGCGCTAACGCAATAGAAGTAATTGAGTATATGCACTTACCACATCTTCAGTCCGCTGTGGCGACACGGCCTTGAAGGGACCTGGTGGCGTCAGCTCTTTGTACACCCGTAGTGTGGCGATGTGGAAGTCCCTGGAGCACAAAGTAAACAAAAAATGTTCGGCCGCATGTCACATTCTCTGTAAAAGCCGGTAGACTGGTGCACACTTGGTGTTGCAGTACAATTGACAATCACGGCCAGACTTCTTTCAAAACACAACAAACAGGAATGTGAGAGACGCAAAGTAAATTACGGACCCGTTTTCAGTCGAACGCATTGTCGCTCCCCACCGGAACCCTTCCCCACGTCACGTGGAATTGCAGGACTTCCAGAATCGGTACAGCTTTGACGAACTGAAGATGACGTGAGAAGGCATCGCAGCGCAATCTTGCGTTGCAAACGTAACAATAATGTCATGGATACATCGTAAATTTACATGACGTGTGACGCCATTATGACGTCACATCTTGACGTCATCTGTGGCGTAGGTGACTTGTTTTTCGTGGCACTTCCTTCGTCAGACGTATTACGAGGAAGCGGCCGCTTCATGGGACACTTGGAGCTTTTACATTAAAAAAACGTAAACAGAGCGCTTCTTCGGCCTTGCAAGAACTAAGTTCACACATTTAACAAAATGGTTCTTTCAAGGCATTTGCAATAACACACTTGTCATAACTGGCCTCTACACTTTTAACACTGTCGCTTGCAGTTCGTTCCGAGTGATCTCAGAAACTTTTACCAATAGCCGTAACAGGTGCGCACGTGTTCTTTGTTCTTTGTAGGCTCTTTTACCTTGCCAAATATATCAATCATAAAGTTTGGTATAACGTATCCAAAATAGGTAATGGGCATTTCAAACAGTTATTTCGTACAGGCATCTACGTTGTACTATGTTTCTAAAACACCTTTCTCGCGTTGTAAGCCTTCTCTAATAGAACATTACAGCCATTTCCGCCATCGATACACGTATTTCCAACGTTTTCACCCGTATTTACCCAAAATAAAGTACGAAAACGATCAAAAAGTTCACCAGCTGCAGCCGCGACGCATTATACGAGGAATACAAATTATGTAAAAAAACACATATAATTTTTAACTAAACTAATATTTATTTAAAAAGGCGAATGAAAATGAATCTACCTAATAAGTCTGCTATACTCGCCAATCTTTGCCCTTGTTGTGGGGCAGTGATATTACGAAGCACTGAAAACGAGATTACCCAGAACAGCTCTCTATGTGCTCGAGCAATAAATGCTAATTGCTCAAGAAACAACTTTATTATGCTAATTTAACGAATCATTTGCATGAACTATATAATAGTTCACCGTGGGAGCCTGATATGTTGGTCAGCCAGCAAGATTTAGATCTGTTAAAAACATTTACGACACATCTTAGCGTTGGAGAAACCTCTACGGTACCACAGTTTTCAAAGGTATCGTGCTGCTCTGCTCAAAGGCCCGGGTCACCTTCCCGGCCATTGAGGCCACATTTGGAAAGGGAGAAATAAAATGGTAAATTAAAACATTAAAGTTTCAATTTGAACAGCTAGATCACTTAATAATGTAATATAATGAGGCATTAGAGAAGTCCCGGGAGGCAAAATCGACCTTGGGCCATCGTCTAGTAAGACAAGCCATTTTGTTTTTGCATACTTTTAACAGGAGCAGATCTACGTGCAAGCTCAACACCGTAACATGATCAAACGACCTTCCCAGTGTCTCTGCTTGTGCGCCTACTTTCTGAGAATATGATTCGTTACAAACTAGCTCAGCTTAATGTAGTTCTCGGCTGCCTTTCTCAGTTTAATGTCGATTACCAACCCTCGTCTTGTCTCGGCTGCGTATCTCTCCCCTTGGTATCCATTCGTTGCCACTGACTATATATACCACATTACCATACGAGTACAGCGGAAATGGAAGCGAAATACGCGATTATGCGTCAACTGCATGAATTGCTGTATTGCACGTATTTTCAAGTGGTTGTAGCCTTGATAGGGGTAACATGCCTCTAGAGTCCCACCCAGCACCTTCTTATTCCCTCCAATGACAAAGCGTGGTGAGAACAGCGCGCCACACTCTTCACATCTTCGCAATTCTTTTCATTGCCCATCTGCATTACAAATTTGGGTATGAGAAAATGGCATTCCTTCAGCAAGGGCACCACCGTATTTGTTCTATTTTAACGCGACCACGATCGTAACGCAAGAGGTGACATTTCATTGGGTCCACGAAGGAAACAAATCTAGGTACTATAATTTAACGCCATGGTTTACTTCAGGTAGCCAAAATCAGGGGGAAAAACACACCATCCTTTCTAGTAAAAGTGGTAGTTGGGCAGTGTGAATATCATTTCTGTTCCTGGTTATGGGGAATACTTGAACAAGTAATGGTGCAGAATCTGGCGTGTCATGATTTCTTGTAGCGCTGTCGATGACCAGACAAGGACGATACAGAAACTACAGGACAAGTGTGAACTACAGGGCCACCTGTCCTGCAGTCCACAACTTGCCTCGTTGTCTGCAGCGCAAGAACAAATCGTGAACCACCACCAATATCCCACTTCATCGCTGTGCTAACGTGTCAACAAGATAATTCTACTCAGACAAGTCTTCACGCAAAATGTCGACTTTACTGATAATACCACACAAATGAGTATTCGTCACTTCCCCCTTCCATCTTTCCCTCAATAATGCTGTTTTTTTTTCGTGAACAACTTTATCCGTCGTGTCTTATTGGTCACCGGAGAGGTTGACAATGGCTTACTTCATCACGTCCATCTTGACGCTGTCGAAGATGCCGTGAATGATATAGCCCTTGCCATCAGCGAGCTTCCGCAGATCCTGGAAAGACGGTGGGAAGCGGTACATAATGAGCATTACAATACTACTTTTTGTACTCAGTACAATCAGTAGTTAGTTGTGGAACCGAGTAGGATTTTAATTTTTGTGCCCGTACAGACAAACTTATATGCTCGACATTACACTCACCATATTTCATATCTAGGGAAGGACGAAAGTATCTCCCAACGATCACCACTTAAACCTGCGCTGTCCAAGCCGAGTCCCTTTAACGCCTGCGGGCCTTTTAATTATAACAACTTTTTATAAGAACAATAATTGATTGAACAATGATCGATCGATCAATTGGTTTATTGTTTACTTCCCTGGTTTACCCGCAAAAATCGGGAACCAGAGGAATGTGGCTATGAGAAGCACATAATCGCTTAACGGTTTTTTACACTCAGTTGGTTTTTTATTTATTTCTTTATTTTTGAATAAATTTCACGTTTTCCTACGGCTTTGGCTGATGGGGCAAAGGAGGAAGTGGGGACCCCCATTTTTCCTAAAATTGGAGAGGTTTATTGCTGGATAGCCAAGCGAATTGCTTAAAAAAGACGTTGCGGTGGCAGAACTGCACATGCGCGAAGCCCCAAGCACATGGGTCACCCCCGAGTCACCGGGGCTGTGCGTCCGCGCGGCCATAAACATCGGTTCCACCACTGGCTTCCTATAATTGAGATAAGGTGTCCTTGGCGGATCATGTTACCCGTAACGTCACCCACGTTTACGGCAGGCTAAACTGAGGCTGGCCAAAGCCATCAAGGTAGAGCAGCTGGTCGCAGAGCACGTTGCAACGCTGGCAACGCAACGGCGGCATGATGAACTCTCACGGTCCACGGGAATAGGCAACGCTGATTCTTACAAGCCCATTTGTGTACGCCGTTAACACTTAGTAACATCGTTGTCAGACAGCGACCGCTCGTCTGGATTGCTAGGCATCGGTGGCCTCAGTCACAACTGTGGCACATACGAAAAAAAAAATGTTCGTCTTGAGTTGATAACTTTGTCATATTAATTTGGAATGATTCATTGGAACTGATTCACTGCATGTCACTACGCGTGCTTGCTCCAACATTTCAAATTGTAAAACTAAAAAAAAGCAATTCATACATGACAAGACGCTATGGCGCTGCGAGCGCGTGTGACCTTCGTCCGGCTCGCGTTCGCGTATAGGCGCCACTATGAGGCACTCCGGTTCAACGTTTCTAGAACTAGGTCCTGTTGGCTACGCACCACCACGCACCACCACGCACCCCCACGCCCGTGGGGCCCCAGGCGGTTTCGTACCCTGCAATAAAACTGTATTCAGTAGAGGGAACTCTGGCGCTGCGATCGTTGAGCCACAATTGGGATAATGGGTAGTGCGCGGATTTGCCTAGTCTTCGTGCTTGCTGCTTCAAACACATTTGTGACTTTGTTCATTGTTATGTTTTGACGTTTGTATCGGATAAAACGAGAGATTTTTGTGAACTGCACGAGCCAACTTCAAATACGAGTCAAAAAGGTTAAAGGATGCGAAGTAAACAGCGGGAAGTGTGCTGAGCTTCGTTTTGAAAAAATGGGTACCAGGCCACAGGCAGCCAAACGAAGCGTTCTTTATATTGTGCGAGAGCTGGTTAACGCAAGGTATTAAGTGCGTCTAAAAAGATCGCAGACAGATGTAGTGTGCACATTGTGTTTTATACATCATGCCAACTGGCCAGGGTTTGCCCTTTGATGGGCTATGGCATGCTTCGAGAACCACGCCCCACGATACACTGAGTATGTCAGCAATGTTCTTTATAATAATCAACTAAGCTGCTGTACGCGGCGTACAGTATCATCCACTGTTAAGGGAAACACGAATACACAGCATCAACATTGTTGGCCTTCTAAGAGCAAGTGGTTATGAAAACAATTTGCATGCACAATGTTGATTGATATGTGGGGTTTAACGTCCCAAAACCACCATATGATTATGACAGACACCGTAACGGAGGGCTCTAGAAATTTCGACCACCTGGGGTTCTTTAACGAGCACCCAAATCTGAGCACACGGGTCTAAAACATTTCCGCCTCCATCGGAAATGCAGCCGCCGCAGCCGGGATACGAACACGCGACCTGTGCGTCAGCAACCGAGTGCTTTAGCCGCTAGACCATCGCGGCAGCGATTTGCATGCTCATCACCAGCGTGTGATGAGTCAGGACTTTCAACAACAAGTGCCAATATATAAGCTAATATGCTTCTGTAAAAGAGCGTAATCTAAGCATACTGGGCACACAGGTGTTCCCTTTAACAGTAGACATTCCTGTACATCGGCCAATTAGGCCGATGTTTCTGCTGACATATTGTTTCTGCTGACGTAATGCACGCAGTGGTCTGCCAAGTGCTCGCCCATATTGCATCCGCAGTCAGCAGCAGTATGGGCAAGCACTTGGCCGACCAATGTAAGCGCTGTAGTCGTACGCCACTTTTCAACCAAACCACATTTCTTCGGATAGCAAGTGGCCGCACTGAAAAGGAGACAATTCAGGCATTCCTGATAAAAAGCAAGCAGCCATGCGTTCGTGCCACATCACTAGATTGCAGTCAGGAAGAAGGCACCTTTTTAAGAGATAGCTTGTAGACATGTAAAGTTTTGACTGTGCGCTGCATGTTTTGCTTTGCACGTGTTCAGGTGCTCTGGCCCCTTTTCGCAGCTCGAGTCAGTGCAGTTTACAGCGCGCACCCTGACAGTGGCTCGCGATAAATCGCTAGTTTTACATGAGTCTATGGTGAGATTATCTTGCTTGACAGTCAACATCAATTGGTGTGCTTTGTCTTAATGATCAGTTGGAAATTGGTGTAGATGTCTGTCAGTTCGTATATTCGCTTCGTCCCTGTCTTTTTTTCGCCTTTCATCCTTTTTTGTTTTGTTTCCCTACGTATATGAGCCAACTATTGCAGCAACAAGCCACGTTTCCAGAGGTGTTCTCTGCAGCCTTTTTTTTTTTTTTTGTCGAACTCTTCAATTTGTTGCTATCGCATTCATTGCTTCACCCGTGCAGCGAAACGGTGTTTCTGGCTGGTGTTATAAGCACTTGGGCTTGCACGTACCTTAAAGAGATGGAGTGACGGCTCGTTGCCGCTCATGTAACGGATGTCGATGCCATCGAGCCAATCACTGGCAATCGAGAGGTAGGCCGTGTGGATGTCGTTCATGCTGAAAGCGCTTACCTCGGCCACGTTGAAGGACAACAGCTTCTTTACGCGGCCGTAAATCCTCCTCAGATCCTTGAATCGCCGCAAGCCAGCATCCACTGAAAATAATAATATTAATTGGCGGTTTTTGTCACCTGTGGTTTGACGTCCCACTATGCCATGATATGATTATGAGAGACGCCATAGTGGAGGGTTTCAGCAATTTTGACAATCTGATGTCTGTTGACACGTACGTACACACGCCCTTATACCACGCTTCCACCAAATTGCGACCGCCGCGGTCGAAATCGAACTCGTGAAATTTGGATCAGCAGTGAACCACCCTAGCCACTCATTCACCGAGGCATAAAATTACTGAAATTGTACGTTCCGAAAACTCCCTATGAATATTAGGGACACCGCAGGGCAGACCTTTGAGAATGTTGACTAGCTGGGGTGCTTTCATCAGGTGTACTCAAATGTGAGCTCGCAGGCCTCTATCGCTGAACGAAGGCACAAACGAAAGCAGCAAGGCAATGAATTATTTTATAAGAACAAGAGGTATCGATACGAGTGTAGCTGGTTGGGTAAACAAAAAGCATAAATTACACAAGCCAACGGCCCCACAAGACCATACAAAATTGTTTAGGCGCCCCATTTGCACTCGGCCTGTGTATTTTTCCGAATTCGCATGCTATGAAAGGATACGATTGGTACGTGGGGTTTAACGTCCCAAAACTACCATATGGTTATGAAAGATTCCGTAGAGGAGGGCTCCAAAAGTTTCGACCGCCTGGGGTTCTTTGACGTGCACCTAAATCTAAGCAGATGGACCTGCAGCATTTTCGCCTCCTTTGAAAATGCAGCCACCGCAGCCAGGATTCAATCCCATGACCTGCGGGTCAGCAGCCGAGTACCGTAGCTACTATACCACTACGGCAAGGCTGCTATATAAAAAGATACCGAATTAACATTTCGTAATGCATTCTTATATGTGCTATACTACACTCGGCCATTTTGTGCCAGATGCAGCCTGCCTACGGTGCCTAGCCCCAACGGAGTACAAAAAAGAAACGTTTCACTGCGGAATGTAATAAAGCACATTTTCTTTTTCTTCGATTAAGTAAACGAAGTGAGAACATTATTATTACAATGCCTATAAGGATATGTACCGTTTTCTTTTTGTCCATCATTACGCTTTTCGAACATCTATTTATCGCATGTACTTATCGTTAGAATTTTCCTGGTGCCCCCACAGCTCCTTTTGTCACATTTTTACGGCAACGAGACACTATCAGCAGGTCATTGTCGTCGCCATCGACTTGATTACAAAGTCCAACTCCGTAAAGTCACCCAGTGCGTCACATGCGAAACACGCTATAGTGTAAGCGCGCGAGGGCTGGGGACGAGCATGGCTGCAGCACAGAGGAAACGAAATGGCCTTCTACGTCGCAAGATGCGCACCTGCGATACGATCGAGCAGCGCGCGAGGCCTGTCATCGATGGCTCCGCAAGCATGCAGAGAGGAGCCATTGAACACCTCCGCCCGCTTTTCATCAGGAGAAAAAGCATGAAAGGCCACCTTTGGCGTGTCGCTGGCGTCACAACAGAACTTCGGTCTTGACGGCTGGAGCACAATATCTCGGAAGCCTCCATTAGACGACTCATATGCGTGTTGTACATGCCTTACTTTGCGATTCGGACGACACAGAGCACGAACGCCGCTCCACTCCCTGGAGCGGCTGTATTCGCTTCGACTCTCGCTTTGCAGAGTTGTGCTAGACCAATGAAACAAATAAAGTTATCTGCTAGACTTGCTTATAGTATCAGAAACACCCAATTCATTGATGTCACACTGAAAGCTTCACCCTTGTGGTGAAAGCGTCATTTTTCCCTTTCAAAATGCAAATGGTGCACTCACGTCCATCTGCCGGCTTCACCTCGCTGGCGCTGACCACAACAGCAGACAAGAATACGATGTGCGAACAGAGGAGCTCCGGGTACTTCAGCACTTTTTCGTGACCATCCAGGGAACATATCAGCGGGGGATCCTCGTTCACGGCTACGAGGGCAAACGGTGCGTCAGCTTTCACGTCGCGGAAACGAAAGGCATATATAAACTGGTGGCTTAACTTCAGTAAGAGCTCATGTATCAAGTAGATGGCGGCTTGTTATCACCATCATCATCTACGTATCGCGGGGACAACTAGCAGCAAATAAAAAATAAAATACGACGTCTCAACAACAACCGGTGACGACGTCACCATTTGCTTTATTTACATCGCGCGAAACTGAAAGTTTTTTTAATTGCTGATTTTTACATGATTTTATTTACTGCGCGATTTCATCGCGCCTTTCAGCTCACCGATTGTGTGCGCAAGATTAATGAAAGACATACAAGAAACATTGGAGAATGAAGATTGTTTAATTAGCCAAAAAGTGTATTTTTAAAATGTACCTAATACTTTGCTGTCAAATTGCGGTACAACTGTTCACGAGAACAACAGCACTACAGCTCTAAAACTGACGTTTGGCAACTTATAAAAAAAACACTGTAGCGAGGCCGCAGCCTTGAGAATATAACTTTGACAACATTAGAGAACAGCGTTCTTTTGCATAGCGTGCAGTATTTACCATCATGCATACCGGAGGCACGAAGGCCGTGTCCCAACAAATGCAGTCACCAGTCACAGGAGCAGCTATCTACATATTGTCGCAGTACAACGTGAACAAAGCACAAGTACGCCTTGAGGCAGCGAAAGCAGCGTGTTCTCAACAGCTGAGCCACAAGATCTTCGTTCTCGCGTCAAGCCAGAGGCCCACTACCTGGTGTCCGCTAAATCCCCCCATCATCGTTTTTGTCCACATGTAGACTCGGGTCATTTGCCTCCCTCTCACAGAGCATCGACCCGATGCGAAGTCAGTAATGCAGTTTTTGTTAAAAGATAAGTCTCACGCAATCACTCGCTGACGTAAGGCTTCATGCGCACTACGTGAACGAGTTCACGATGGTGCTGGCGACGATTGGTACTACACGAATTGTCGGTAACAACTTCGTAAGTGACGTCACTCAGTTGTCGCAGCACTCGGTATGGCCCAAAGTATCTTCTTAAGAGCTTTTCTGATAGTCCTCGTTTCCGTACGGGTGTCCAAATCCATACTTTGTCGCCAGTTTGATAGACAACTGCTCTGCGGTGAGCATTGTAGCGGCCTGCATCGTACTCTTGGTGCTGGCGGATCCGTAAACGTGCCAGTTGTCCAGCTTCTTCGGCGCGTTCCGTAAACGTGTTGGCGTCTGGGTCGATGTCGTCACTTTCGTGCAGCAGCATCGCATCTAACATAGTTCGTACTTCTCGTCCATGAACGAGGCTTAACGGGGTCATGCGGGTCGTTTCTTACTTGGCCGTGTTGTACGCAAACGTTATGTATGGCAAGATTTCATCCCAATTTTTGTGTTCGATGTCTACGTACATCGAAAGCATGTCTTCAATGGTTTTGTTCAGACGCTCCGTCAGCCCGTTTGTTTGTGGGTGGTAGGCAGTGGTCTTACGACGCGTTGTTCCACTCAGCATCAGGACGTGATCCAAGAGAGTTGCCGTAAATGCGGTTCCTCTGTCTGTGATCACGACGGTTGGTGCACCATGCCTCAGTACAATATTTTCGATGAAAAATCTTGCCACCTCCGCTGCTGTACCTCTCTGAATAGCTTTTGTCTCGGCATAACGGGTCAGATAATCCGTCGCGACGATAACCCAGCGGTTTCCTGTAGTGGAAATAGGAAGTGGGCCCAAAATGTCCATGCCTATCTGGTAGAATGGAGCTGTTGGGACCTGCACGGGTTGCAGTAGGCCAGCTGGTTTAGTCGGTGATGCCTTGCGTCGCTGGCAGTCGAGACAGGTACGAACGTGGTGCTTCACGGCTGTGGTTAGTCTCGGCCAGTAATACCTTTGCTGTACTCTGGCCAACGTTCTCATGTAACCCAAATGGCCAGAGGTCACCTCGTTGTGGCATGCTTTGAGTATTTCGGTACGAAGGGCTGCTGGTATGACGAGCAGATAGGCGGATCCTGTCGACGAAAAGTTTCTTTTGTAAAGTACTCCGCCCCTTAAACAAAACGATAACAATACTCTTGCGAAAACTCTTGGCGCCTTCTGAGATCTGCCTTCCAAGTAGTTAATTAAGCCAAGCAACTCAGTGTCGTCACGTTGTTGCTGCGCAATGGCGGTCGTGTCGAGGACACCGAGAAATGCCGTTTCCTCCTCCTCGGGTAGGGTTGCAGACTCAATGGGTGAACGGGACAGACAGTCAGCGTCCCTATGTCGCTTGCCTGACTTGTGCACGACCGTCATGTCAAACTCTTGCAGTTTTAGGCTCCAACGCACTAATCGGCCGGTGGGATCTTTTAGATTAGTTAACCAGCAAAGGCAGTGATGGTCACTAATAACTTTGAAGTGTCGGCCATACAAGTACGGGCGAAATTTCATTACTGCCCATACTACGGCGAGGCATTCTTTCCCTGTTGTTGAATAGTTAGCCTCTGCGCGTGTTAGCGTTCGGCTTGCGTAGTCGATCACTCTTTCTGTGTCCTCTTGCCGTTGCACAAGCACAGCCCCAAGACCTACATTGCTAGCGTCTGTGTGAAGCATCGTCGGGGCTTCTTCGTCGAAGTGGGCGAGCACAAAGGGCGTTTGGAGACGTTGACGCAGGTCATTAAAGGCAGCCTCCTGTTCTTCTTTCCACTCAAAGGCAACATCATCTCTTGTGAGACGAGTTAGTGGCGACGCGATGCGGGCGAAGTCTGCGATAAACCGGCGATAATAGGCACAAAGGCCTAGGAAGCGTCTGACAGCCTTCTTATTGGAGGGTACTGAGAACTGTGCGACGGCGGCAATTTTTCCAGGATCGGGCCGGACGCCTGCGTTGCTGACGACGTGACCGAGAAACTGAAGTTCGTGAAAACAAAAATGGCACTTTTCTGGTTTCAATGTTAGGCCCGCGAACCGTATGGCACGTAAAACAACTTCCAGCCTTTTGAGATGCTCGTCAAAAGTGGTCGAAAACACTATAACGTCGTCCAGATAGACTAGGCACGTCTTCCACTTCAATCCCGAAAGTACTGTGTCCATAAGCCTTTGAAAAGTTGCGGGCGCGGAGCACAAACCGAAAGGCAAGACTTTAAATTCGTATAAACCATCTGGGGTCACAAAAGCGGTTTTCTTTCGGTCTCTTGGGTCTACCTCGATCTGCCAGTAACCACTCCTCAGGTCCATGGAAGAAAAGTAGCGAGCGTGCCGAAGTCTGTCAAGGGAGTCATCAATACGTGGGAGCGGGTACACATCTTTCTTGGTCACCCGATTCAGCTTCCTGTAGTCCACGCAAAAACGCAGGGTGCCGTCCTTTTTCTTTACTAGCACTACAGGCGATGCCCAGGGGCTCTGCGACGGTTGAATGACGTCATCAGCAAGCATTTTCGCGACTTGTTGTTGTATGGCTTCGCGTTCCTTTGAAGCTACGCGATAAGGGTTCTGGTGGATAGGTCTCACCGTGTCCTCGGTGATTATTCGGTGCTTTGTCAAAGGTGTTCGACCAACTCGTGATGTCGTTGAAAAGCAGTCGCGGAATTCGGCTAGCAGCTGAAGAAGTCTCTGTCGCTCGTCCTTTGACAGAGTGCTGCCAACATCGAGAACGGGTTCTGGTTCTTGATAAGGCTCTTCGTCCAATACCGACAAACACAAACTGCCTCGCATTTCTACAATATTGTCGTACGAAGCGATAGCTGTACCCTTCGGAAGGTGCCGGCGCTCAGCACTAAAGTTCGTCAGAAGTAAATTCGTGCGTCCACCAGTGAGACGGACGATACCTCGTGCGACCGAAATGCCATGACTAAATAGCAGCGAGCCAATTTGGTCAGCAATGCCTTCGCCATCAAACGCTTCGTCGCCTTCTACTGAAACAAGAGTACATGACCGGGGTGGGACGACCACATCATGATCAATTATACGTAAAGTGTTGCTTATTGCGTCTGAACAGTCAACTAAACCAGGGCTGTTGCGGAATGTAATTGAACGGTCCGGGATGTTGATGACGGCACCATATTCTCTTAAGAAGTCCATCCCTATGATCAAGTCCTTGCAACATGAGGTGAGGATGACGAACACTGCCACGAAATAGAGCCACCGATGTCGAGTCTTGCTGTACACCTTCCGACAGGCATCAACAGCTGGCCGCCTGCTGTCCTCAGGTGAGGTCCCGTCCACGTAGTCTTCACTTTTTTGAGGCGTACGGCAAGGTTTTCACTTATGGTAGAAAAGTCGGCGCCGGTGTCAACTAAGGCTGTTACTTGCTGTCCGTCTACCGAAACGGTAAGATCTGTGGTCACAGTTTCGTCGGTGTTACAACTTCTCGGCTTTACGGCGTCCTGTGGTACAAGTAACGGGGGCTTTTTTTCGTCGCCTTGACGGCCTGCAACCTCACCCCCGGAGGTCGCCGCCTTCAGCTTCCCCGGCGTGGACTTGGTGACCTCCTTCCACTGACGTCGGCTGTAGTTCGGTGGCGCGACGAAGGCGAATATGCCGGAGACGGAGAGCGTGGTCGACGTCCCAAACCTGGCTGGTAATCAGGCACACAGTCGTCATTATTGGCACGGCGGTTGTCAAAATGGAACTGAGACAAGGGGAGTCCTTGAGTATGAGTGTCCCGGCGTGGTGCGTAGCCGTCGTTGGCGCGTCGATCGTCAGACCATTGCCGAAGAGGTTGAAACATATCTACGCGTTGCCAGCAATGGCGGGAAATGTGGCCCACACCTCCGCAGGTAAAGCAAAGCGGGCGCCTATCTACAGTGCGCCAGGCGTCTGTTTTACGAAGCTGTGGACGCCGCAATATTCTGTGAGCTTAGTAAGCTCCAAAGCGTCAAGGCAGTAAGCAACACATAGGCAAATAACTGAACTACAGAAGGCGAGCGTGGGACCGCCACTGGAAACTGAGCGATGCCTCGTCCTAACAATGTGCTGAACTATCACTAGCTCCAAATAGCAGGTTCTCTGCGTACGGCCCCCAT